TTTTTTTTTTTCAGAATTGCCTCTCCCTTCCTTGAGGTCGTGGAAGAAGTTCTCTCCAAGAAAGAAGATGAAGAGGAAGAGGAAGACGAAGAGATGTTGTCCTCAGATGAGGAAGAAAAGAACTATGAGAATTTCTGTAGATTATCATCAGGGAAATTATTCTTTCTTTAAATGCGCCTAAGCACATAGTATTATAAAGGGCACTAGAAACGTCCTTGAATATCCAGGTGTTTTTGTCATTCTGAATGCGTACGAACCCTATCTAATGAAGTAGAACACATTTTTACATTTAACAGTTAGTCGCCAGGATACAGAATCGATGTGTTAGGTTAATCTTAGATGCTCATATTCTTGACAATTCAGTTAATCTTTTCAGTAATTTAGGTTGGATCCCTATTTATAACATCATACGGCTAAGGAAGCTTTGTATGGTGCATAAGATTATAAATGGCAGTTGCCCAAATTATTTAAAGGAGTATGCCACTTATATAAATGACAAACACAAGTACAGCACTAGGGCGTCTAAAAGAACTGGGGTGGAGAAAGTANGCGACTAAATAAGCGTCGAAAATCCTCAAAACAATTACGTCACTCTATCATGAGTACTAAGCACACAAAAGGTAGCTTCTTCGCTAAGACTCCTTTGATGTACGCTGGTCAATGTATCTCTTGAATTGCACGTGATATTCATTTTATAGTTACGCATGAACTAAGATACCTTTTACGTGTTTCATACTCATGATAGCGGCCTTGCGAGCTCTTCGCCATGAGGGTAGTGGGGAGGAGGAGGATGTTGGAACGATGGCAGAGGATGTAGGGGAGGAGACAGACATTGAAGAGCGGAAAGACCAGTTCTTAAGAACTGTCGAAAGACTACTGAAACACTCGGAAAAAAAGAGACATGTCATCGGAGGAGAAAAGAAAAAAGAACTGGGGTGGAGAAAGTACGTTGTCGACGAGACGAAATGGCCAGGAACCGTTAGGTGTTGCGGAAAAACCTTTTCCCGCGGTGGTTCGTTTAGATACCACGTAGATGAAGCCCACTTGAAAAGTCGTAGATTTCGTCTTGGCGAGTAAAGCCAATTAAAAAGAACGGCTCCTTTAGGAGCCAACCAACTGCTCGAAAGTCAATGACCCGAATGCTTTAACTCATTTCTTAGGTACCACGAGGTACCACTGTTTATTATCATTTAATATTATGATTTATAATATACATACTGAGATTTACACACTGAAAAGGCGCAGAGTAAATTTTCGTTCGCAAAGTTCCTATAGAATGGCATAAAGACACGCGCACCGTTTTATATCTCTTAAATAAAAAACAACAACCAATTTGCGTTTTTGGATATGTGAAAATTGAGAAACAATATCTTGAATTTCAGAAAATCTTAAGAGAGAATAAAATATTCTATTACTTTGAAACGAATACTCACTCATAAAATCCATGATTAATCAACTTTTACTGGAAGGGAAATGAGAGCCCTTCCCTTAGGATTCAAAACAGTTCGAGATTGTCCTGCCAATCTACAGAGTAAATTGTGGTTATAAGTCGGCGTGACTAAGCATAGATACTGAGAAAAAAAAATTGAGCGCAGTTACTGACCAACGAACATATCTATTAATATTGTGAATAAACGACAAAGATCTAAAAAAAAACTATGTATATCTATGTGGTGCAAATTAACGGTTTTCCTTAAGTTTCCCACTTATTTACAATTTGTTGTTTTTTATTTGTTGTTTTTTATTTAGTGCCCTTTATAATACTATGTGCTTAGGCGCATTTAAAGAAAGAATAATTTCCCTGATGATAATCTACAGAAATTCTCATAGTTCTTTTCTTCCTCATCTGAGGACAACATCTCTTCGTCTTCCTCTTCATCTTCATCTTCTTTCTTAGAGAGAACTTCTTCCACGACCTCAAGGAAGGGAGAGGCAATTCTGAAAAAAAAAAATAACAATTTGCATCATCAACATTTATTAAATGTTGAATGGATCCAGAGCGGGCATTATTTTCTTGTAATGACTGGGCATTATGAAAAAATTTTCTCAGCTCAACGGGTTTTTTTTTAGTTGTGAGAAAAAGCTACTTGCAAGGGGCAAAAACAACAAAAAATGCCGACAAAATGAAATGATAACTATCTTTTCAATAACTGAAAGAAAAATATAAGCATAACGATACTTCATTAGTATGAGCGACTAGGAGAACCTGTAGTGTTTTTTCCCTTGATTCTACTCTTTTTTTGAATAGTGCTTAAAAGGCCTTATTATAAATAACTTATTAACCTCTTCCGTTCGGTCATTACAGGAGAATCTCATACCTCGACCTTGATGTATTGACCTCGATTTCGCTCAGTCAATACATCAAAGCCTCGGTCTGAGATTCTCCTGTAATGACCTGTTTCTTTGTTTTGGGACACCAATATGGCTGCCATGACATCATGTGAAAACATTCCATATAAATTCGTTATAATTATTATTTTACAGTAGAACCCTGGAACTCGAACTCTGATAACTCGAACAAACCTGCTAACTCAAACAAACTTCCATTTCCCTTGGATTTGATCTCACTTTTCAGTCATTTTTACTCGGTTAACTTGAACTCGGATAACTCAAAAACCCAGCTAACTCGAACAAAATCTCGTTTCCCTTGATCAAAATTTGGGTCAAATTTACCCCGATAACTCGAATTCCGGTTCTTGCAACTCACCATGGTTGCCCATTTATTACAGCAACAAAAAAGATCACGTATTTGATAGGCTTTTTCCACTCTTATCTAAGAATTCATGATTGTGTTAGACTTTTGATTCGGACGCCGTTCAGCAATATGGAGTTGTGTTGTGCATGTGCGTGGCTATAACAACACCGAGGGAATAGTATGATATGCCAGCCGCAGTCACAGGAGTGCGGCCAGTTTGTAGCAAGAAAGATTGTTCTCATTATTCTGAATGTCCAGAGACTTACCTCGCACGCTGGTATGCCCTCTTTTTTTTTCATCTTAATTTTTTTTAGGAATAACCTCTGGGAAATCCCTCACATCTTCAATTTTACAAATCTCGACTTTCAAAACACCTCACCACCACAGAACTTCTGCTTTGTAAGCCAACTATCTGAAAATGATGACCCTTAAGCAACGAAGAAAAGTTTGATGTTACAGACGTTACAAGTTTTGTTACTGTGTGAAACTTGTTTGCAATGAAACATAAGAGTACTATTTACAATATGAGTGGCAGTGTAGTATCCGCAGTTATAAACAAGAAAATGTTATAAAATTCCAAGAATACATTGTAGGGTATTGTGGTATGAACAGAGTACTCACTCTTTGTTTAAGCTTCTAGTGATATACAGCATTTGCTTAAATTGTATCTTCTAGCGGTAATCTGAAACATTAAATATAAACTGTTTTAACGTGTTTCCCTCCAGTTTTAAAGAGTTTTTTTAAGTTCCTATTTCAATAGGTCAAAATTTATTTTAAAGTGCACGATAATCGTTTCTTCAGAAATAGTAAAGAAAAATAGAAGCCTATTAAACCATAAAGCTTTACTATTCATAAAGAAACTATTCAACTACATTATTGTAGGTGCACTTTAAACTTCATTAAATTGAATAAATAAAAGGCGAGTGCGTGTGCTGTGTGCAGATTTAAAGCAGGCGGGGATTTATCAGAACAGCACGACGCGAAGCGGGGAATTCTCAACACTTTGCGAGTGTTCTGGCAGCAGTGCTACCGTGCTGCGTGCTGATTTAACCAATCAGAGCGTGCGTTATATTGTAATTATTTTATAATGGCATATGCAAATAATTTACTTACATGTTTTTTTAGTATATGGTATTGAAAACTCCCTGCTGAGGAAAATCTGTTCCCACAGCATAACACAGGTTTCCTACAACAACATAATATCAAAAATTTTTTTATATATATAACGAGACTTTCATAGCGTAAAGCCTATGAATAGAAATCTATATGCTATATTTTCACATGCGAAAAACAGCGATACGTCCAATCAGCGTCGCGTACAGCTTTTCAGAGTGTAAAAATATAACCAATCAGAATCGTCGATCAATCCTCAGCCAATCAGAGAACGAGAAATAGCACTTTACTGGCTTCCCAGGTGACAGAGGAAAAAGTTGTTTTGTTTTGAAAGTTATTACTCCCAACGGCAGATTTTTGTCAAATTTTTGCAATGAGAAAAAGATGTCTAGATATCGAAGAGAAAGAGCTGTTGGTTTCTACTTCCCGGCGAAAGATCGATGATTCAAGCTAAAAACTTTGCCGTCCTTGAATCTAAAATGTGACCAACGATAAACAAAAGGATAGCTCAACGACAATTCTACAAACCTATGATGTAAGAAACTCGAAGAGACTGGCAAAAGAACTAAAAACAAGGTATTTTTCTCTCATATTTCTTCCCGAGGATTCAACAAATTGGCTTCATCTTTCAAAAATTGTAGGCTTGATGTTTTTCCTTTTCTTTTTTTGCTATGATTTCGACATGATACAGCTGTAGTCTTCACCTTTAGAGTACTAGTTTCATTCTGTCTTATCTTAAGTCATTTACTTATTGAATAAAAGTTAAGAAATTCTTGTATTTTTGTTTGCAAAAGATTTGTCGGTAAGGACAATGTCGTCGGTAAGCTTATCTTCAGTTTAGCCTACTACATCCACCACGCACGCTTTCTTTCAAATCACTTTTATGCAAAAAACGTCTCGTTATATACATAATAAACAGACAACACCATAGAAAGTGCTTGTACGGGATTCTATTCACTCGTTGTTTGTGTAACTACGAAAAATTGCATCAAATCGCTTTGAAATTGCCATGAAATTGCCGTGAAATTGCAGGTTGTTTACACGCGAGATTTTGGGTTGCGATACGCAAAAATTGCAGAC